ACACACACACACACGCCCTTGACTAAGAGAAATTCACCCAAGCCCCATTCCATTCAAGACTTAACTTCCTACTTCACAAAGAAACAGAGACCACCATTCTTTTTTTTTTTTTTTTCAACGTTTTTATTTATTTATGGGACAGACAGAGACAGAGCATGAACGGGGGAGGGGCAGAGAGAGAGGGAGACACAGAATCGGAAACAGGCTCCAGGCTCCGAGCCATCAGCCCAGAGCCTGACGCGGGGCTCAAACTCGCGGACCGCGAGATCGTGACCTGGCTGAAGTCGGACGCTTAACCGACTGCGCCACCCAGGCGCCCCGAGAGACCACCATTCTTGACACTCCACTTTGAACATCTTTGAATGGCTCAAATGTTTCCATATTAACTACCTCTCTCCCCCAATCTCCTCTTGATGCTACATTTCCCATTAAAAATCACCCTTGGGGTGCCTGGGTGGCTCAGTCAGTTAAGCGTCCGACTTCAGGTCGGGTCATGATCTCACAGTTCATGAGTCCGAGCCCTGCATCGGGCTCTGTGCTGACAGCTCAGAGCCTGGAGCCTGCTCTGCATTCTGTGTCTCCCTCTCTCTGCTCCTCCCCTGCTCACTCTCTGTCTCTGTCTCTCTCTCTCAAAAATAAAAAAAAAAAACATTAAAAAAAATTTTTTTTAAAAAGCACCCTTAACCCTCAAGCTGAGCTTAGAAGGAAAGTGGTCCACATCCGGTCTCCACTATCTCCCTCTAATCAGTCCTTACAAGCACTATTATTTTGTGGGGAAGTGTGCCATTCTAAAGATATGATTTTAAGTGTCTATGGGATTTTTAGATCTGGGGGTTCATAGATTGTACCAGTGTGGAGCTCAGAAGGCAGATTTGGTCTGGAGATATAGATTTTTAAAACAGAATGCATGAGTATGGTAGAAAAACTTCATAGAAAGGTAAGAAATAAGTTTCTTGACAAACACTAACTAATCCTCCAATTCCCTCCCCAGAGACCATCTTGTATATCCCTCCAGACACAGCCAGCTTCATGGACATGGGATCTGTGCAGTTCCATTAAGGACCCATACTTAAGAGAGACCTGAGCTTGGTCTAATGCTCTGCTGTTGCCATCTTGAAGTTCCTTATCTTGAATAAGGGACCCCCCTGCACTGGTCCCCCAAATTAGTAGTAGGTTTTATTTCCAGCTATATTCCATGCATAGTTAAACACGTGATATACACATATACCCCTCTTTCCATCTCCTTTTCTTTTAGCATTTGGTGATTCTAAAAGAATGTGTGTGGATGAAATCTCCCAGGGAGAAGATACAAAAGTTATTAGTGCAATTTACCAAATATTTCTGCTTCTTCTGTTTCTGGGTGAGATTGCATTTCCTGATTCCCTGGGACAAAGTTCCTGGGGCCAAGTGACTAGTTTTGACCAGTGAGTTAGGGGCAAAATGGAATGCATTGTTTCTAGATCAGAGCATTTAAATGCCACTCTAAGACCTGCCAGATTTCTAATTCAAGAGTTCAAGATAGTGGCTATTCCATTAGTTTTGTTTTCTGAGTGACTACGATGAGCAGAGCCTCCCAGGTGACCCATGGTGAATATTTATTGTGGATGAGAAATAAAACGACATCGTTTTTAAGCCATGGGATTTGGGAGGGCTGTTTGTTATTGCAACATCACCTGTCATGACTGATAAAAATATAAAAAATGCTGAGGCAGAATTTGCTGGAACTGACACATAAAAGGAGAAGAGTCCTAGAAAGATACGACAAAGAACATAGAGGCAAAGACAAAAAACTAGGAGAAAGGGCCCAAGGGAGTCATGAAGATCAAGGGAATAAATTGCTCAAGAGGTAGAGAGCGGTACATGGTGTTGGTCCAAAAGGCGAGGTGAAATAAGGAACAAAACATATCACTAAATATGGCAACTGATAACTTATCAGTAAGCTTATTAAGAACAGTACCCATGAGGGGCGCCTGGGTGGCTCAGTCGGTTAAGCGGCCGACTTTGGCTTAGGTCATGATCTCACGGTCTGTGAGTTCGAGCCCCGCATCGGGCTCTGTGCTGACAGCTCAGAGCCTGGAGCCTGTTTCAGATTCTGTGTCTCCCTCTCTCTGACCCTCCCCTGTTCATGCTCTGTCTCTCCCTGCCTCAAAAATAAATAAAACGTTAAAAAAAAATTAAAAAAAAAAAAAGAACAGTACCCATGAAGTGGTGGTGGGAGAAATAGCAGACAGAGGGCTGAGGAAGCGGAGAAGGAAGAGCATGAGATATCATTGTCTGAGTTCAGCAGAAAGACCAGGATCCCTGCCACGAGCACTTTTGAGAAGGGTCGAGAAAATTTGCATTCAATCTCACCTTTCTCCTGCTCTCCAGTCTCCTGAACTGAGAGCCAGGAGGTAATGTAGCCCCTGGTGCAGCTCACATGAGTAAGAAAGTAAAATTTAGCTCAGACTGGAAAAGTAAAAACTGGCTTGGCCGCTTAGCAATCTGGAAGAGCAGTAATGAGTAAAGTCAGCTGCAAAAATAACACCAAACAGTATTTCACTGTACCTGTAAAGTGATAATACCACCACCCCCAATCTTTTTTGTTTTAAAGATAAACTTTCATTTTACTGTGGGGGATAAGCTTAGGAATCCCCCAGGCTTACATCAATGGGTTAACAAGGCATAAAGAAATACAAAGTCATAACATGCTCACACCCAAGTTTGGGTAAACCAGATTGGCACCCCAAGAATAGGGCACCCCAAGAAAAGGGAGGCGCAAAGGTGCCAGAAATAGGGAGGTGCAAAGGCACCCCAAAATAGAGAGGGAGAGGCAAAGGTCTGAAATAGAAACGGTGCAAAGGTGCCCAATATATAGGTATATGAAATAAACAAGATTAGATGTTCAGGGTGGAAGCACCCCAATTTAGTACTATAGCAGAAAATCTGCTTTCACAGGAGAATAGGACCAGGTTAGGTAAATTGGTGAATTGGACTATGGACCACTGTGCTGCAGGCAAAGCAGCCCAGAGTGGAGATGGTTAACAAAGGAAAAGGTGCCTTATTAACCCTGAGGTTATTCCCCCATCTGTCTCATCCCCTAGGCTGGCTAAGGTAAACAGAGGTGCTGCCTCACGTCCGAGGTAAACAACCTTCCTCCCGACTGCCTGATGCCCGGATTTTGTGTTATATTGACCCAAACCCCAAACACTGTATATCTTCAAAACCCCCCTTTTCCCTCACGTCCCCAAGTTAATGTTCTTAGTTTCTTTATCTCTTTGTACATGCCCATCACGTTTGTAAACCTTCTGGCATGAATGGATACAGGGCAAGGACCCTTAATCAGGGCTTTTGTCTTTTCTCGTACATTAGCCATCTCTCGCTTTAATCCTCATCTGCTCTTTTGCTGGCCAAAAAAAACTTTAGACTTAGAATCTACGACTTTTACAACAGTTTTAAGTTTGCAGAAAAATCACAAAGATAATACACAGCTTTTCCATATATCCTATACCCGGTTTCCTTGATTATTAACATCCTACATTAGTATGGTACATTTTTATAATTAATCAATATTGATATATCAATATTAACTAAACTTCATATTTTATTCACATTTCTTTAGTTTTTAAATGGTGTTCCTTTTCTGTTTTAGGATCCTATCTAGGTTATCACATTACATTTAGTTGTCATGTCTCCTTAGCCTCCTCTTGGTTGTGACAATTTATTAGGGTTTTCATTGTTTTTGATGACCTTGAGAGTTTTGAAGGGTATGTTAGGTGTATTGTAGCACCCCCACTCCCATTTTTTTGAGTGATTGTTGCTTTCTTACTGAGAAATATCATCCTCTAAAATAATAAACTATCAGAAAATTTGCTATTGGGAATTCCATCAATAAGAACGAAATACTCCACTTTTGCCTGGAGGATCTAAATCACAACCTTGCCAAAGAGAAGCAGCCTCAAATTGCATCTCAGGTACAAAGCTTCAGATAAAGGGTTTCTAGACACAACATTCAACATCCATCTTAGCTTTATTGCTTCCAAGGAAGCAGGGCCCTGGGTCCACTTTGCAATCCAGATCTAAAGATGACCGTTGTATACAAACCTGCTTTGCTCTGACTCTATCAAAATCTGTTTTCATTTAAATTTAATCTAAACCCCACCATTCCCCATAATCCTATGATAGCTCTGTCCCTTTAATGATGCCCCTAGATCCTCTGGCATGAGCTTTTTCTCATGGAATGAGTCAGTAAACCTAGTTTTGTTGAATGGTAAGTTTGTTTCTGATGGTCTTAGGCTGACTGGCCTACATCACACGTGTAACTCAGGGGGCACAGAAGAGGGCAGAGAGTGGATCTAGAGGGTCACGCAGGAAATATCCAGTATAGAAATAAAGCCCTCTTCCCCTCCCAGCCCCAGCAGATCTGATGCCCCCCTCCCACCCACCACCCCCATCTACAGACCAGAGTGCTGTGGAGGATGTGTGAGAGGGAGGAGAGGAAGATCTTCATTCACCCAGTGTTCACAGACATCTGGGGTTGAACAAAGGGTTGTAGAAATGAATTAGTCAGTCTCTGAGTGGGCCTTGAGACAGTAGAAAGATCTAGGCCCCTTTATTAAGTCACAATGGAAACACTGGGTCTCCTGACATTTGAAAGGCTGCCCCTTTCCCCTAACTGAAATGAGTCCAAAAAAGTCAAAGAAAAAAGGGGATAAAGCAGAATTCTAAAAATGCCCTTCCTTTGAACACCATCTTTGTGCAGGCATCTGGGGGAGGCCGGCCGGGGCAGGGTTATCTGCCAGCCAGGCCTGTAGGACTTCGCTTCTCTTGTTTATCCCCGGCCACATCTGGGGCAGCTGCCAGGACCCGCCCCCACTCTGCCGTCATTGGAGGAACTCAAACTTAAAGGCTCCTGCTAAGAATCAGGATGTTTCATTTTCCTCTTACTGGTGGGCTTGCTGTGGCTGGTCTGGGAAGGCTGAGCCCTGGTCCAGACCCTTGTGGACAGTGAATCTCTTGCCATGGCAGCCTGCTGCAGCTGGAATGATGTTTTCCAGTATGAGACAAACAAAGTCACCCGGATCCAGAGCATGAATTATGGCACCATTAAGTGGATCTTCCACATGATCGTCTTTTCCTACGTTAGGTAAGTGGGGTGTGGGGATGACCCCAGATGTCTGCAGGGGTTGACAGCACAAGAAACCTCAAGGTGCAGCTTTTGGTACACAGCCTGAATTCCACGTGGTTTTAAATCTGAGACTTTTTTCTGATAGCAAGCTGGGGCTGGAGGTGGGAGTGGGTGTTGGGGTGGGAGAGGCAGGTGGTTGGAGGGGGGTGTGTGGGAAACAGTGCCAGGCTGCTGCAGAAAGAAGCCACAAGAGGCAAAGCCATACTCAAGGTTCTACCCCAGGCCTGCCAGGGTTAGCTGGGCAAGGTATGCCCGGGAAAAGTGGGAAACAGGGCAACACCCTGGATTCCTAGGGAGGAAACAAGGATTCGGGGCACGCCTGGTGATAATGCTGGCATCTGTCTGAGTCATCACTGCTTAGAGGAGGAATAGGACCAGACTTGTCAATGTAACCAGGTCCTCTTCAGTGGCAGAAAGGCCCCCCTTGCTCATTTTTGGTTTTGGTTTTGGTTTTTAAGTTTACTGAGATATAATTCACACACTATACAACTCTCTCGTTTGAAGTGTACAATTTAGCAGTTTTCAGTATATTCAGAGTTGTGCAACCATCACCACAATCCATTTCAGATTTTCATCACCTCCAAAAGCAACTCCACATCCCTTAGCCATCACTCCAAACCCTTCTGCTCACCTGTAGCTCTGGTGACCCACTGATCTACCCTCTGTCTCTAGGATTTGCCTGTTCTGCACATTTCATATAAATGGAATCAGGCAGTATGCGGTCCTTTGTGTCTGGCTTCTTTCACTCTGCATTATGTTTTCTTTTTGTTTGTTTAAGTTTATTTATTTATTTTGACAGAGACAGCACGAGCGGGGGGAGGGGCAGAGAGAGAACCCCAAACGGGCTCTGCATTGCCAGCACAGAGCCTAATGTGGGGCTGGAACTCCCAAATGGTGAGATTATGACCTAAGCCAAAATCAAGAGTCAGGTGCTTAACTGACTGAGCCACCCAGGTGCCCCTGCATCATGTTTTCAAGGTGTATTCATGTTGGAAAATGTATCTCTATTTCATTCCTTTTGATGGCCAAGTAATATTCCATTGTATGGATAGACTGTTTTCTTTTGGTGGACATTTGGGTTGTTTCCAGTTTGGGGCTATTATGAATAATGGTGCTATGAATACCAGTGTACATGTGTTTGCATGAACATGTTTTCAGTTTTCTGGTGTACTTACTAGTGAAACTGAAAGATCATTTAGTAACTCTACTTTTGACCTTTTGAGGAACCACCCACCTGTTTTCAAAGCGGCTGCACCATTTCATGTTCCCACCAGCAGTGTGTGTCCCATTCCTCCACATCCTCAACAAACACTTGTTCTTGTCTGTTTTTTTGGTCATGGGCATCCTAGTGAGCTGTGAGTGGTTCTCACTGTGGTTTTGATTCAGGGTTACCTAAAGGCTAATGCCCCATTGCTCTTTGTGATGATAATAATGAAAACTTGCATCTCTATAGGCAGGCAGTGTAGTTTACTGGCTAAGGGTTAGAGCAATTATTTTATAATCCTGGGTAAATTTCCTTGGCCAGGTCACTTAACCTCTCTGAGCCTCCCTTTCTGCATCTGCTCATAGAGTTATCATAATTAAACAAGAAAAGGCATGACAAGTGCTTATCGATGTCTGGCATAGGGTAAGAGCTCCACAAATAGCAGCTATTTAAAAAAAAATAATCTTGGGGCGCCTGGGTGGCGTAGTCGGTTAAGCGTCCGACTTCAGCCAGGTCACGATCTCGCGGTCCGGGAGTTCGAGCCCCGCGTCAGGCTCTGGGCTGATGGCTCAGAGCCTGGAGCCTGTTTCCGATTCTGTGTCTCCCTCTCTCTCTGCCCCTCCCCCGTTCATGCTCTGTCTCTCTCTGTCCCAAAAATAAAAATAAACGCTGAAAAAAAAAATAAAAAAAATAAAAATAAAAAAAAATAATCTTTTTGACTTAAAAATAGAATTATCACAGGGGCACCTGTGAGGCTCAATCAGTTAAGCATCTGACTCTTGATTTCCACTCAGGTCATGATCTCACAGTTCATGAGTTCCAGCCCCACATTGAGCTTCAAAGCCTGCTTGGGGTTCTCTCTCTCTCTCTGCCCCTCCCTTGCTCATGTAATCTCTCTCTCTCAAAATAAATAAATAAACTTAAAAAATAGAATTACCACAAGATCCAATAATTCCACTACTGGGTGTTTACCCAAAGGAAATGAAAATTCTAACTTGAAAAGATATATGCACTCTTACGTTTATAGCAGCATTATTTACAGTAGCCAAGATATGGAAGCAACCCAAGTGTCCATTGATAGATGAGTGGATAAAGAAGATGTGGTATATATATACAATGGACTATTACACAGCCATAAAATGAATGAAAGCTTTCCATTTGCAATGGACAGAGCTAGAGAGTATAATGCTAAGAAATAAATCAGTCAAGACAAATACCATATGATTTCATTCATATGTGTAATTTAAGAAACAAAACAAATAAACAAACAAAGAAAAAGGGGATGCAAACAAACAGACTTAAATACAGACAACAAACTGGTGGTTGCCAGAGGGGAGGCGGGTGGGAGGGATGGGTGAAATAGATAAAGGAGATTGAGTACACTTATCCTGATGAATACTGGGAAAGGTATAGAATTGTCGAATCATATTGTACACCCGAAATGAATACAATACTATGTTAATTATACTTGACTAAAACAAGAGTCTATTTTCATATACATTCTCTCCTTTGACTACCAAAGTAACCATGCCCATGCCTGGGATTTGAGGTCTGGAAATGTGGATTCAATAATCTTTCACTTCAGGGTCAATAGGTGGCTCAGTCGATTAAGCATCCAACTTCAGCTCAGGTCATAATCTCATGTTTCGTGAGCCCACATTGGGCTGTTAGTGCAGAGCCTGCTTTGGATCCTCTGTCCCCCTTCTCTCTCCACACCCCCCCCCCTGCTCATGCTTGCTCGCTCTCTTTTCTCTTTCAAAATAAATAAACATCAAAAAGTTTTTTTAAAAAATCCTTTGCCTCTTTAAACCTTGGTTTCCTCATCTGTAAAATGAGGACAAAGTTTGTCATAAGAATTAAATGAGTTACTAAATACAAAGTTGCTTGAGAAATACCTGGTGTATGGCAACCCCTTACCAAGTATTAATTCTTATTAATATTATTAGGATTATCATGATTTGATTCATACGTTTATTACACAACAAATACTGAATAATAAACATATATAGTACATTCTAAAATAAGGCTCATTACTTAAGCCAGGTATCATAGAACTGATGATGAAGGGCAGAGTTAGTAAATGCTCCTTTATGCACCAACAGGTAGATCGTGTGTCACAATTCCATGTAACAGGTGACGTGATTTCCTGGTATTCCTGGCACACAATTTCTTAAAAGCAAATTATTGTATACATAAGAACAGATTGCTATGAGAATGCCTTATAATGATAAATATTTTTCTCTCCTATGGGGGAATCTTACCTTACATGCATTTAAGTCTCTCAGATTCAGTTACACATGTTCCATGGGAGCCTGGAGAGACAGCACAGTTTAAACAGTGCGATGACTCAGTGATTGGGTGCCCCAGACTAAGCATGAGGGGGGTACTTGAGTTGGGGATCCTTCAGTCAGTCTCTGTTCCCTCACACTTCTCACAGAGTGACTGCCTTGCACCCTGCCTGTGAATCTCAATCCATACTCCCCACCCAACATGTCCCCGAAAATAAGCCACATCTTTCACCTTCACCTGGAGCAAAACTGGAAAAACAGTAACTTGTTCCAGAGTCAGAGGAAAAAGGGACTCTGATGGACTTGTTGGAAGATAGAAGGTCTGTTTGCTATGCTTTGTGGACAAGTCAAAGGTTTAACCAAAGGCAATTAAAAAAAATTTTTTTTTAATGTTTATTTATTTGTGTGAGAGAGAGAGACAGAGGGCAAGCAGGGGAGGGGGAGAGAGAAAGGGGGAGACACAGAATCCGAAGCAGGCTCCAGGCT